ATCTGGAGCAGAAGGAGGTGCTAGACTGGTGGGGAGCCGTTAGAATAAAGGAAGGTGGAGGGGACAAGAGATAAGGCGGGGTTTGGGGTATGTCATGGAGGGCCTGGAATGTCCATGTACTGTGGTAGGCAGTGGGGAGCCAGGGAAGGTTATTGAGCAGGGGAGGAAGAAAATCAGATTTAGAGAAATCAAAGACAGGGAGAGCTGTGAGGGAAGACGTGACCTGGGGGTCGGGGAAGGGGAGGAGCAGGAGGTAGGCCTGACACACACCCTCCCCAGAAAGGACAGGCCATTTGGGAGGAAGCAAGAAGGTGTAGGGATGAGGAACAGGGAGGAGTCGGGAATGGAGGTGGGCCTCAGGCTGTTTTGTGGTTGGAGGAGGACCTAGAGCAGGGCAGGCTGGAGACAGAAGGTGATGAATTGAATATTGACTGGCTCAAGTCTGAGGTGTCTGTAGGCATCTGGGAGCAAGTCCAGGAAACAGGAGAAATGGAGGTTTCATAGAGAAGGAACCAGAGGGTCAGAGTACTTGTTTTTGCCAACATTCCCAAAGCTGGAAAGGGGCCATGTCAGAATTTCCTTTTTAATTTCTTTTCATTGTATTCTATTTTATCTAAGTGTCATATAAGTATAAAAATGACCTTTAAAGGTGGAAGTGCAGTGAGTTAAAAAATGTACTGTTATAAAAATAGAATTTGAACCTGAGTCTGTTGTTCTGAAGCCTGTGGCTTCATACAGAAGAATCAGCAAAGCTGCAGCCTCTTCCCTGTCCCACGGGGTCCTGACTCGGTCAGGGCTTGGCCTAGGGCTCACCTGGTGTTATCCAGGAAGGGGCCCTTCATGGGGACACTGCGGCCTCAGGAGGTCTGCAACGGGATCTGCAGCTCTGAGCGTGTGCTCTGTGGAGGACCAGCAGCAGCCAGTCTCAGCCTTCGCATCTCTCAACACCAGGGATTCCCTACCACCCACCCATCGGGAGCCACAGGCAGGAGTGACAGGCAGCTTTAACTGTGTGCAGGCCCCGTGCCAAATGCCTCACAGGCCTCAGCTCGCTCAACCCTCATAACCACCCTTGCAGGGAAGTGTTAATATTACTGCTCCCATTTTATAAGTGAAGGTGAGAGAACCAACCCAGGGTGTAAGAAGTGAAGGGTTTGCCCCGGTGCCTTGGGGGTGCAGTGAGGATCAGGTTTCAGGTTGGCAAGGCTGGTGTTTGACCTGGGCAGATGGGGCAGCGCTCTGAGTCCCATAGAAGGGTTGGCTTGAGGGTCCCCAAACCCCCTGGGGCCTGGTTTTCAGGTCTGCAGTCCTGGCTTCAAGGACCTTCCCCCCTGCTCCCCCACCTTCCATTCCACACCGCCTAACTCCCTTGGAAACAGCCAGGCGCCCCCCTCCCCCTCCCGGGCTGTGCTCCTGGCAGCAGTGCCGCCCTGGGCTCTGGTCCGGGGGTGGTCCCTGGCGGAGACAGGGAGGGCAGGAGCTGGATGAGGCGGGCTGGGAAGCAGGACCATCCACAGCCCCACAGCCCCCCACCCATTGTGCTCCAGGGTGGGGTGGGCTGGGCCCGGCCCATTGGAAAGGGGCAGCGTGAGGTTTTAATCACTTTATCAATGTTTGTTTGTGTAATTCAACTCCAAGATGCTTTTCCTTCCATCTGTTCCCACCATCTGCTCCTATCAGGATTTTCCAACCCATTTGGGACCAAGAGGGGAGGGTAAGGGCTAGGCCTCTGTGGGGGCTGGGGAGGGGCCACTTCCACCTACCTCACTGAGGGGCTTCCAGGAGAGGCCTGGGCTTCCAAGTCACACAGAACTGGGTTCAAATTCTGACACGCACTTTCTGACTTGACACCTCACACAGGTTACTTCACCTCTCTGAGTCTTGGTCTCCACACCTATGAGATGGAGGTCACTGTACTGACCCTCTGGATTCCCGAGGATCACTTGTGGTGAGATGCGAATTGCATCCTGCCTCCAGTAGGTGCTCAAGAGATGTGTGTCCCATCTCCACTCGTTCCCCACTTGCTCCTCTCTCTGGTACTGGAGAGTTGGTCTGCCCCTCTAGTGGTAGAGGAGGGCAGCCACCAGGGTTTCTGTCCCTTTCATCTCACTCCTTACCTGCTAGGGACCTCTCCTCTCCTGGGACTTGCTTTCTCTTCCGTGGACTCTGCCCATTGCTCTGTTCTCTTCATAAGTCCCCTTCTCCCAGCCATGATAAACTGCCTTCTACCCCCAGCCCTTCATCTCCCTCCTCCCGGATGCCTCAGTCTGGGGTGGGAGGGAGCTGGGTGTGAGTAGGGAGTCCTGCCTAACAAGTCTTCAAAGAAGGTGAACCTAGGGGCTCCTGGAGCACTAGTGCCTCCCATGTGTATGGGCTTGTCCAGAAATTCAGGCCTAAGGGGTCCAGTGAGGCAGTGAGCAGAGTTTCACTTGTCTTGCCCATGGGGTTCCCCAGCCAGGAATTCCAACGGGGAATGTCAAAGCTCTCTGTTCAGAGAGGGCAAGAGGCTGCTCTGAATCCTCCAGAAGGGAGGGGCCCAGGCCTCCTGACCAGCTGCCCTTCTGGCCCCCTCTTCTCTGGGCTGCCTTCCAAAACACTGGGTCTTAGGCCAAGGGCCCTGGTGTGCAGTGTGGGGAACCCCAAGTCTCCCTCTTTGGCTCAAGGTGCCTCCTAGTGGTTCTCAGGCTCCAGGGGAGGTAGAGGTGGCTGATGGGAAGTAGCCAACAGTGTCCACCAGGGACCAAACTCTGCCCCAAGATCCTCTGTACTCATTCTGAGGTGAGGGAAAGTCAAAGGAAGGTGGGGGTATCTAGGAGAGGAGAAGACATGGCTCAGCCTTGTGATGTCCATCTAAGGAGGGATCAGGACTCAGACTGAGGTCCTGAGGACAGGGCACCCAGAGTCCCCCTGGCAGAGAAGAACAACAGTGGGGAGGAGGACAAAGGCTCATGAGGGGCCCTGTCAAGGTCAGCCTGGGGGTGAGCCTGGCACAGGAAGTTGGGAGGAGGCAGAGTGGCTGAGCAGCGCGGTGAGGGGAAACTGAGACCCAGGAGGATGGAGATGAGGGAATGGGGGAGGAGAAGCCCCTCTTCCTCGCCCAAGCACAGTAGCCACCCCCCCCCCGGCTGGTGGGGAGGTGGGGGAGAGCAATCCAAGGACCTGGGATGGGGGCTGAGCAACAAGGATGCTCCCAGGTCCTCACGTCTGAGGCAGCTGGGTACCGCCCCCGCACGTCTGGCGTCTCTCACGCCTCCGCGGGGGTCCCAACACCCGAGCCAATGCACAAAGAGGAGCCTATGTTCCTGAGCGCCCAGCTGTCTCCCCACAACCAGCGTGACTTCCCAGCTCCTCCAGCGAGACCTCCCCGCTTGTCCCAAGCAGGAAGGACTAGGACTAGAGTTTGACCACCTGGGAAACCTGGTCTGGGAAACCGGCGTGGAGCTTTGGCCCGAGCCCAGGCAGCGCGGAGGGTCCGTGCTGCTGCCTCCAAAATAAAACAGGTCTTGGAGACGCCATCCAGTCAGATGGCAAATGTGTCCAGAAGCCAGTCTCCCACCCTGGTCATATCTCACCCTGAAGTGACCCCTTGCTCCCACCCTTGCCCCCTCCCTTCTTGTAGCCCGTTCTTGATACAATGGTCCGACTGAGTAGCTGACCTAGAAGTCAGATTCTGTTACTCTTCTCAGAGCCCGAGGGCCTCCCATGTCACCTGGAATAAAATCTGAAGTCCTTGGCATGGCTCCTGATCTGTCACCATCCTGGCCTCCTGCAATACCAACCCTAACTTTTTCTCTTTCCAAAACACTTAGCTAATACGCTATAAAATTGTATATTGTATCCATTATGTATTGTCCGCTGCTGTAACCTCAATGCCTACAACAGTGCCAGCTGCGGAACCAGTGCGTAATACCGTGGCATGAATGAATGAGGGCACATGGATTCAAATCCAGACCTTCCACTCACCAGCCCTGAGAAAATCACTTAACCTGGAGACTCCGTTTCCTTATCTGTAAAGTGGGGACAATCAGGACCACTTTCTAAGATGTGATGAGAGGGCAAAATTCCAACCCAGGATGTGGAAACTTGCGGAAGCTGGGCAGGTGGATGCAGCCGCCACAACGGCCGGAGGAGCTGCCATGGGGTCAGCACCTCCGGCTGTCCTGTCTACAGGCGGGTGGGCTCCACGCCTCAAGAATTTGCCAGGCTGGAAATGTTCCCCGTCCGCACATAACACAACCCGGCCCCGGTAGAGCTGGAGAAAGAACGAGGGGGATTTCTTTGACTGGGGAAACAAGGAGGGGCAGTTAACACTGCTATCGGGAGGTGGGATTTATTCTGAGAGGGAGTTCTGGGGCTGGGATCCGACGTGGTGGTCCGGAGAGATGGGGCGGGGTTCTCTAAGGCGAAGGTGGGGCAGGGGTGTGGGTGTGTCTGCCCCCAACCCCTCGCAGACTCTCCCCAAAGAGCCCCAGCTCAGTTAGTTCCGGAGTTGGGGCTAGGTGGGGGGAGGCATGGGTGCCTAAGGAGCCGCCAGGACCGGGATTCCGCCCTCGGACCAAAGTGCGGCTCCGCGCCCAGGTAGGAGTGAGGGAGGGAGAAGATGGAGCGGCCGGGGGTTGTACGAGGCTAGAGGAAAGGGTTTCGTGACACTGATCCCACCTCCATTCAGGCTACCTGAACCTGGGGGCTGCAGAGATGAGAGCCTCGGTCCTCCTCCTCCTCCTCCGGCGGAGTGCTCCCACTCGAAGGGAGCTAGGGAAGTGAGGGCACCACCTCCCCACTCCGGGGCTGGGGCTGGGGCGGGGGCGGAGCCTGCAGCGCGCTCCGCGGGTGCTGGAGGGAGAAGAGCAGGAACAGAGACCCCCCCTCCCCCAGGGGAGGGGCTCCGGGCGAGCGCTGCGGGGCGGCTCCCTCGCAGCCCCTCCCCCTCCCCCCGCCCGCCCCTCCAGCCGCCTCTGCCGCCGCGCGCCGCAGCAGCGCCGCCTTCCCTGCGCAGTCGGTGTCTCCGCGTCGCCGGGTGAGTGGGGGGCCGCTCTGGTCGGGGCTGCGGGCTGTGGAGAGGGGGGACCCCGGAGGGAGAAGGCCACGTCCCTGGCTCCCCAAGCCAGCTGCTCCCCGCGGCTCCCGGGAACCCTCCCTCCCGGGACTCCGGGAGCTGCGACTCCCCCGGGGGCGAGCGGTGCTCTCCAGGGTCCTGACCTCCTAGTGCCCAGCCGGGAGGAGTCTCGTTTCGGCCGCCCGGGAGCGCCCCCTCCAGGAAGGGCTGACGCGCTCGGCGCTCTCTTAGTGCCTGAAAGGATTGGCGGGGGCTCATGGCGAGAGCTGAGGGAGGTTGGAGAGGGTCTCCCGGGCGGGCATCTCAGGTCGAGCTGTGAATTCCTTCCCATTTTGGGGATTAGGGATCCTTGTGGGGATGGAAGAATCTTCTGCCCCCTCGTTTCCAAGTCTTCTAACTGGGAGGGGTAACTCTAAGGATGGTAGGGAGGAAGGGGCATGGGAAGATCCCTCCTGCCCAGCGCATCTCTCCACCCCCGCCCCGGTGACCCAGTTCCTTGGACCTTGAGGAGGGGAGTAAGGGACACACTCCCCCACCCAGCCCTACGCATTTCCTCAGTCCTCTCCCACACACTTGTTCCGCGGGTCCTCAGCTTGGGGCAGAAGAGGCTGGTGCAGAAAGGAGGGGCACCAACTTACAGAAACACCCGTGACACACTGCTGAGGACACACACAGGCTCCCAAATGGCTACACAGGGACATTCCCTTCACACTGTCATGGGTGCATACCTGGTCACACGCAGACATAAAGCACATGCAGACATGGATTCAAACGCTCAGAGAGGCAATGCAATGCAGAGGTCAGTGATACACGTGCATGGAAGGGTACATGTATGCTCACATGCCCACCCACATATGCAGAGCTCTGTGAACGTGTGCACACAAGGAACCCCCTCACCCTGTCCCATTCACGTTCCCAAGCCTGAGGGGCATTCACCTGCACATCCCCCAATATCCTGCAGTGAGAGGACCTTTCTGGACTAGATGAAAGGTAAGTGTTGGGGGAGGTTAGGGTGGGCTAGGCATCTCCTTGGAGAGGGGTCCCAGCAGATCTGGGAAGAGCTGCAGCTCCTTCTCCTGGGACCCGGCAGCACCCCTAGGAGAAGAGAGAAAGATGGCAAGGGTGTCTGAGGGTCCCACGTGCAGCTGGCCATGTGAGAGGTGTCAGCATATGAGTTGGTGTGTGCTGGCATGCGTGAGACATGTGGGGTCGTGGGCTGCTGTGTCTTGATGCGCAGAATATGATAATTTTGCGTGGTGCTGTGTGTCAGTATGTACAGGTTGCGTAGCAGAGGGAATGTTGTCATATGGGAGTTTGTTGTCATGTGGGGGCATAGTGACCCATGGCTGGTATGTGAGTGCGAGGGGACCCAGTGTATGGACTTGGTGAGCTGTATGTGCCCATCTGCATTCCTTTGTCCATTGTTATAGATTAGTTTTGTGGCATCTCGTTGTTAGTTATCAAGTCAATTCTGACACACGGTGACCCCATGTGTACGAGTAGAACTGCTCCATAGGGTTTTCAAGGCTGTGACCTTTCAAAAGCAGGTCACCAGACCTATCTTCTGAGGTGCTTTGGGGTGGGTTTGAACAGCCAGCCTTTTGGCTAGTAGTTAAGCACTTAACTGTTTGCACTACCCAGGGACTCCTTGTGGCATTTAGGTACATGAAAATCATTTTTATTTCTTTAACACTCACCTAGAATTGGTATATACATGCACTACTTTAACTGCTTCACATGTATTAACTAATTTAATCCCCACAAAAACCCTATGAGATAGGTACCATTATTAACCTCATTTTACAGATGAGGGAGAGAGTACTTAAGGAACTTGCCCAAGGTTACACAGCTGGTAAGAGGCACAGCTGGGATCCAAGCCCAAGCAGACCAGTTCCAGAGCCCAGGCTAACACCTGCCCTGGGCTGCCTCATCAAGCATACGTGGGAGGTCGCAGGACAGCCAGGAGCAACAGGTGCTTTGGTGGTGATCAGTTATACATGAGGCCATGAGGGGGTCAATGGGTAGGAGGGCAGAGGACCAGAAGGCCCTTCTGTACTTCCCTGGAAAACTCTGCAAGGCAGCCCTGTTATTGCATGGCTGTGTGACCTATGCAGCTCACCTTGCCTCTTTGAGCCTGTCCTCTCATCTGTAAAATGTGAAATGGGGCTAATCCCCATGCTTCATCTTGTGAAGGTTAAATGATGTGACTTGTAAAGGCTAATTTGCCGGCATTTGGAAGCGCCTGAGTAAATGGGAGCCCTCTTTCATTCCCCGCTGCCCCTGGTCTGCTCCTTGGGAATGTGCAGGGTGGAGGGGAATGTTTTGGAGCATGGCACAGAGACAGAATGCAGGGTGCATGTTCTGTGACCTCTCCCTCAAACAACAGGCTAGTGTGGCTGATGTCTAAGGGCCCTTCAGAAGTGGTGTCTAGGCATGGGGGAACCTGACCACTTCTTTCTGCCCCTTGAACCCCTTGGCGATCCAGGTGGGACTTGGCTCAGCGGCCATGGGCAAGCAGAACAGCAAGCTGCGGCCCGAGATGCTGCAGGACCTGCGGGAGAACACAGAGTTCTCAGAGCTGGAGCTGCAGGAATGGTACAAGGGCTTCCTTAAGGACTGCCCTACGGGCATCCTCAACGTGGATGAGTTCAAGAAGATCTACGCCAACTTCTTCCCTTACGGCGATGCCTCCAAGTTCGCTGAACATGTCTTCCGCACCTTTGACACCAATAGCGACGGCACCATCGACTTCCGGGAGTTCATCATTGCACTGAGTGTGACTTCACGCGGCCGCCTGGAGCAGAAGCTCATGTGGGCCTTCAGCATGTATGACCTAGACGGCAACGGCTACATCAGCCGCGAGGAGATGCTGGAGATCGTGCAGGTGGGCCCTGGGCCCCTGAGAATGCCGGGTGCAGAGTCCAGCTTTTATACCCACCACTCTTGTTAGCCTCTCAACACCGTGGGCAGGTGGTGACAGGTGCTGCCTTGCCACCACCACCACCCCCCATTTTAAAAAAGCTCTTTATTAGGAAGTAATTTCCAATTTTAAAAAGGGATGCAGAAAACTCCCATACACCCTTTCCTGAGAATCACCAATTACCATGTTGCTACCTTTGCTTTCTCATTGTGTGTGTGTAGTGTTTTGTTGTTTTGAGCATGATCCTTTACCCACGTGACTTCCGGACATATTTCCTAAGAACAAGGACATTCTCTTACATAACCTATAATATCATTATCAAAGTCAGGACATTTAACATAGAAACAATGCTATTATCTAATCTATAGGCCATATTCCAATTTTGCCAACTGTCTCAATAATGTTCTTTATTGAATTTTTTTTTGTCCTAGTCTAGGATCACACATTGCATTTAATTGTCCTGTCTCTTTGTTGTTGTTAATTGCCATCGAGTGGGCACCAACTCATGGTGTCATTATACATACCAGAATGAAACGTTGCCTGGTCCTGCTCCATGGTCTTGAGGAAACATACCTGTCTCTTGAGTCTTCCTTAATCTGGAATAGGTCTTCAGCCTTTGTGAGGGTTTGACATTTCTGCAGAATACAGGCCTGCTATATTTTAGTGATTCTCACTTACTCAGGAGGAAACAGATACTCAGAGAAGTAAGGAGACTTGCTTGAGGCCATACAGCTTGTGAGTGAGCTATGTGGCTCTAACATCCACATTACATCCTGCTCACCCAGTTACCTCCCAACTGATTGATTGAGGGCCCACTACAAGTCAGGTACTAAGCAAGTGCTTACAGCTATGAGCTCATTGAATCCTCACAACCACCTCATGAAGGGACCATTATCCCCATTTTCCAGGGTTAGGGGATCACTCTTGAAGTTCAGAGGTGAAGTGACTTGCCTAAGGTAACACAGCACTTAAGTGGAGTCAAGCTCAGGTGTCTTGAAAGGGCCATGAACTCCCAGCCAGGAGGTTTAGCTTCTAGTTCCAGGCCAGCCTCAACTCAGCTTGCTCATCTATAAAATGGGGATGACGACGCTGAACTCATGGGAGTGGGGGGAGGATTTAAGGAGCTGATTTGAATGTCCTTTCTTAGTATAGAAGGAGCTGGTGGTGCAGTGCCTAAGGCATTTGACTGCTAACCAGGAGCTTAGCGGTTCAGACCCACAAGCTGTTCCACAGAAGAAAGATGGGGCAATCTACTTCTGTAAAGATTTACCACCTCAGAAACCTAGTGGGGGTCACTATGAGTCAGAAGTGACGCAATGGCAGTGAGTTTGGTTTGGCTTTGGCTACTTAGTATAGATGTGTGACATATATTAGCTTTATCTCAAAAACCTTCTGGAGTGCCCATCGTTTCAGCCCAGGACTGGACATTGCCGAGGCTCTGGTTCAATTTTCTTGCCCACTTTTTCTCTGAGCATCTGTTTCTTCACCTGTAAAATGGGGGTGTTAACCCCCTACTTCACAAGTCTCTTTAGGCCATATAATTGATACTTGGTGAATGTTAAGGAACTCTGGTGGTGCAGTGCCTAAGGCATTTCACTGCTAACCAGAAGGTTAGTGGTTCAAATCCACTAGCTGCTGCACAGAAGATGGGACAATCTACTTCCGTAAAGATTTACCACCTTGGAAACCCCACTGGGGTTGCTATGTGTTGGAATCAACTTGACGGCAGCGAGTTTGTTTTTTGGGGGTTTGGTAAATGTTAGAGATTGTCCATTATTTTCTCATGTGCACATCCTCCACTCTCACCAGAATGGCCTTTTCAGTATCCCTGAAATGTACCCTGAGTAATCCTGCCACACAGCTTTGCACGAGCTTTTGTCCCCTCTCCTTCTGCCTCTCTGAATCCTCTTCCTCTGGCCTCACTGACTGCTCTTCCCTTCCAACTGCTCCGACTCCCACTGCTCTCCACTTGGGCTTCTCCTCTTGCTAGGGGGCTGGAGTAGAATGGGCTGCCTCGGGGTGTGGTCGCTTCCCTGTGCCTATAGGTAGGGGGAAAGCATTAATGTTTGTCACCAGCCCCCGTGAGGCAGATATTAGTTCTTTAGTTGCTGGATGGGGGGAGCTCTGAATGTCCTGGTGGAAGGATCAGGGTAGCCAAGGTGGTGAAGGATCACTCAGGGGTTGGGCAGCAGCTGGAGGGATGCTGATGTCTTAACACCTAGTATGGTCATGCTGGCTGGTGTGTACTGGAAAATCTCAACCTCGCTGGAGGCACCAGATGGGTCAAGTCAGCCCTGTTCCATAAGCATCCTTGGGACCCCTTCCTGGCTGGCCTCTGCTATCTAGGCCTTAACTTCCTTCATGGCAGGCTGGCGGCCCCAGACAACTAGTGCAGACAGAGCACTGATTAATTACAGGTCGGCTCCAGTGAAACAATGATAGAGCAGCAATTCCAGACAATTAATGAGGAGGCCCAGGAGAAGGACTGTCACAAGGGTGCAGCTACTCTCAGTCACTGGCACCAAGTCCTTTTGGGGACATAGCTCTGTACATAGTGTGTACCAGACAGTGTGCACACTAGGACGGAAGGGACCATGTCAGCCTCTGTGGCCCCCACTCTGGTGGGGGAGATAAGCATGCAAGTCGCACTGACCAGTTTGGTGATGGGAGTTTACAAAGTGACACCTGGGAGCCTAGGGAACTGAGGCGCAGGAAGGCCTGAGGACATGATAATGATTCTACCAGCTACTGTGTACTGACTACTCTAGCACCAGCCACTGTGCCAACTGCTCTGCACCATTACCTCACTTAATCCTCTGGATAACTGATTGAGGGTGATAGGGTTATTCCTATTTTACAGATAAGGAAACTGAGGTTCACAAAGGTTAAGTACTGGTGGAAGGCTACAGAGAGTGAGCAGTGAAACCAGGATGCCACTCCACGATGCTCATGTGACTTCAGAGCCTCTGCTGTGCGCCACCCCCCCACACTGCCTACGCGAGTTCAAATCTACCTGCCGTCAACCCCTTTCTGTGCCTTGGTTTCTTACCTGGAACATGGGGATCATAATACATGTTTTGCAGGGCTGTTGTGGGGTTTAGAGATAATGCATGTAAAATACCCAACACATAATAGGTGCCTGATAATTGGGTTAAATGCTGGGAAGTGTGGAAAGCCTGATGGTAGACAGGTTAGCAGGGGCCAGGACTTGAAGTGCCTTGAATTTTGAGTGGTTTGGACTGGGTACAGAGAGCAGTGGGAGGTACCGATGGCTCCCCCCCCCACCCCCCGGGGGTCCTTTCTGGTGCATTGCTGCCCCCTGAGCTATCTCCCTGTGCATGGCTGATGGTTCTAAGGAGTGTATCTACCTGGTATAAATGTTCACATCATATGCTCATCTATTGTTGGGCTGGAAGCCACAGGAGTGAGTTCAATTCCAGGCGTGAAGAGTGAGTAGGGACCACAGTCTCAGCGGTTTCACCAATTTCTATCAGACCAGCAAGCCTGGTCTTTTTTTTTTATGATTTTGAGTTTTGTTCCACATTTTTCTCCCACTCTATCCAGCATAGCTTTTAAATAGAGTCCTTTCTAGGTCCAAGCCCTGTACTACGTTCTGGGGATGTGGCCACTAGCTAGATGGCATGGCGCTTATCTGTATGGTGGAGATAACAACAGCCCTGGGAGGGGCCTTGGTTGCCATGCTTAAAGCACTCAGCTGCTAACCGAAAGGTGGGCTGTTTGAACCCACCAGCTGCTCCTCAGGAGAAAAGACCTGAGGATGTGCTCCCATAAAGAATACTGCCTGGGAACCCCTGTGGGGCAGTTCTACTCTGTCCTAGAGGGTCGCTAGGACTCCGAATTGGCTTTATGGCACACAGCAGTCCCACAAGGGCATAATTACTTCCAGAGAGGTGTCCTCCGAAGGAAAAGCCCAGGAGACTCTGGGCCCACATAACCACTCCTTGATCAGTCCTTAAAGCGCCAGCAGAGTCCCAAAGGGGCGTGGGAAGCAGCAGAAGGAGCGTGGGGCAGCATCCCGAAGGAGCTAGGTGTGCTGGCAGGCCTGGAGGGAGGCCTGTGTGTAGCTGGTGCGAGGAGGCGGCTGGCTGGGTTGGGGAGGTGGCGGTGGAGCTCTGTGTTCGGAAAGAGCTCTCATAGGTAGCACTGGGGCATGGACTCGAGTGGAAGAGGCCTCAAGAGACCAGCACGGAGGCTGGAGCCAGATCTGAGGCACAGGCAGTGGTTGCGCTGGGAGTAAGGAGGCTTCTTGGAAGAGGCGTTGGGGAAAACTCGAAGAGAGGCTACTGGTCTGGTTCTTAAATTCTAGGGTGATGGAACCCAGGTCCTCCCACAAAAAATCCCTGCCCCCTCTGCCTCAGTGACCTCGGGTATGCCCCACCCCCACAGATGCTCATTGTTACAATATTCCCCGCCCTCTTCGGGCCCTCTCCCCACCCTGCGACCCCTTTCGGTCACAGACGGCTTCACAGCCCAGTGCCACTCTCCCCTAGCCAGGCGTCCCCTGTTGGCCACAGGAACAAAGGCCACTGAAGTCCCGCTGTTCCGGAAAAGCAGGACAAATCCCTTCAACCCTGAAACCTGCGGGGCCCATGCTCCGAAGCCAGGTGCCTGGGTCCGAGGGCTGGCAACATCTTTCCTGACCCCTCCTTCAGTCACCTACTCCGAGCCTTCCCACTGCAGCGCTCCTGCATCTCCCCCACCGAGCAATACGCTCCTACATGGTCCTCCGTGGAAATTCGTTCAAGGCCTAATCCTACAGCCCCTTCTTTCCCGGTCCCCGTGACCCTGGCGGGGTTCCGCCAACATCACAGAATGCTGGGGAGGTTTCTGAATCTCGGTGGTAACGCGTGGGGGGCTCAGGTCTGCTCCTCTCACTCTCAGCCTTCCCCTCCTGCGCCCTAGGCCATTTACAAGATGGTGTCGTCAGTGATGAAGATGCCAGAGGATGAGTCAACCCCGGAGAAAAGGACTGAGAAAATCTTCCGACAAATGGACACAAACAACGACGGTAAGGGGACAGGGGTTAGGGGCAGGAGCAAGGGTTAGGGGCAAGGGCAGAGGCGGGCAAGCGGGCAAGCGGGCAGGCGCCACTCTCTCCCCTCCTTCCACCGCCTGAGCTGCCTGTCTCACCCCGGCGCTGCCTGCATCCTCATCACTGCTCCTGTTGTCTCTCAGGCAAGCTGTCCCTGGAGGAGTTCATCCGCGGAGCCAAGAGTGACCCGTCCATCGTGCGCCTGCTGCAGTGCGACCCCAGCAGCGCCTCTCAGTTCTGAGCGAGAGGAGCCAGCCAGTGCTCCTCGCTGCCTTCACCGGCCCTCAGCTTCCCCTCCCTCGTGTTTACCCGGGGCCAGGCTGGGGAACCCCCAGGGTTTGCACTGTGGGGGGCCCTACGGCCAAGGGAACCCTGCAGTTCTCCCAAGGCCCAAGCAAGCAGGCAGTTAGCACCCCGGAATGCAAGAGGCAACATCTCCCTTCCCCAGTGATAGACACATGCTCGGGCTTGGTCTGCCCCCCTCAGAGTCAGCCCCTCTACCTTAATCATAATTTCAACACCCCCTACCACACACACACACACACACACACACACACACACGTGCACACACACACAGCCACCATGAGGCCAGACCTCCCTCCCCCAGCCAGGGGCAGGCTCCCCACCTTGTAGGTCTCAGCCTGGGGGAGAGAAGCAGTTTTGCCCAGGTGAGGAGACTGCCTCATCATTTGGAAGGGAGAAAGAGAATCCAGGGATGAGAGGTATGAAGAAGATTCCTTGAGCCACCCAGCCCTAGCTCCTTCTGGCCTGAAGGCTCTAATGCAAAATGAAAACCCCCAGCATTCCAGGAAAACCCCCAGCATTCCAGCCCGCAGCAGTGGGGCCATGAACTCCCTCCCATCTGCCATTTGGCACTTGGACCAATAGCCAGCCACACACAGACCCATGGACCCCTTGGGGTATTTTGTCTCACTCACTCACTCACACAGGCCCACAGTCGGGTGGGCAGATGCACCCAGAACCCCATGCACAAGCGTGCCACACGGGGAAGCAGCACAGGCCCCTGGCCAGCCCCTCCCCCCGCCCCGCATGCATCCACGTGGAGCATCTCTGTTCTTTTTAATAACTTCAGAATAAAGTCTCGTTTCAGTGCAGTGGGCTAGGTGGCTAGGGAGGGGGCCTAAAAGCCCCACCCTGATGCCTGAGTGTCCATTGAGTCCTCTTGGCCTGGCTCCAGAGATACTGGCCTGGTCACAGTGCAGACTTTGTCACACGATCATAGTGGCTACGGGCCCCGTGAGGTATCGGCGCTCAGAGGGTCAGCGGCTCTGCGCTAGTGCAGCTCAGCAGGTTGTGGCCATCCGTGGGTTCTGGGCTCTCCAGTATCTGGGGAGACACAGGAGGCTGCTGGGCACACTGGATCTGGATCTCTTCCTCCAGGATACTCAGGGAATGGGGGTATCTGGGAGGAGCCCACTGTGCCCCATGCAAGAACTAAGTGAGACCTTTAGAGTGCCCCCAATTCAAGCCGAAACACCCTTCCTTCTCTTTCAAGACTCATCATGGGCCTTGGGAGAAGCAGGGGTCCGCTGTGTGACTTAGCTGGGAGATCTAAGCTCTGAGCCTCCACACCTCACCCCTTGGGCCCAGGAGAACATTGCCCCAGCTCTCCAAGTGCAGGCCCTGCACAGAAGGGTGGGGCAGACCAGCCTGGGCTCTCCTGTAGGAGCTCCCAGGAGCTGGGGGGGAGGGGCTTACCAGGTGGTGGCTGCTTTTCCCCCACCAGGGCCTCAGTTCCAGCAGCTGATGGGCAAGCTGGGCACAGCGTACAGCAAACACACCCTCTGCCACGCAGAACACCAGTGCAATTCCCCAGAGGCACAGGCTGGAGCTCTGCGGTAGGCACAGGGGGGCATGTCCATTGGGGCTGGGGAGAGGGTGGGACCCCAGGAGCCTTTCCCACCCAGCCCAACGTGCACCTGGGACCCCTCCCCCCAGGCCCAGGCACTCACGTAAACACGTGTGGGGTCAAAGGGACAGTCGGGTACGAGCGCCAGAAGTTCAGGACTCCCAAAGGTGCAGGTGGCCAGCAATGCCCGGCCCTGGGTGGCAAAGGTCACGGCGATCGAGGCCAAGAGGCCAAGGGCACAGGTCAGTGAGAGGAGGGCACAGGCTATGCTTGAGCTGAACACTGTCCAGCGCTGGATGGGGAAGGCCGCTTGTCAGTGGACATCACGTTTGGTTCCTATGGGCAGTTCTGGCCACCCTAATGGTCAGCCTTACCCACTCCAAGCAAGCCAAGCCCTGGGAGGTTTGCTGTCCCTTACCCTCTCATCCCCCCTATCCCCGGAGGCGCCACATACCAGGGGGATGCTGGGGAGGTAGCGTGACAACACAACGGTGGTGATGCCTGAGGTGATGACCTGTGGAGAGACTTACGTCAGTCCTGGGTGGAGGTGGTCAGGGCCACACTCCGATAAAGTTTCTACCGATGCCACCTTGGTCCTCCAAACCGCCCACTCCTTTCACCCCTGCTTAGCTTTAGCCTCATTATCTCCATCTGCATCGAGACACTCGCTGGCTCCTCGTGGTCTAGCCTCTACACAGCCCCGGAGACATGTTTCTAAAACACAACCACTCCCTGCCTATAACCTTCCATGACTCCCCACTGCCTCCAGCTGAGCATCTCAAACAGGGGCCGGTGTACTCCAGGGGTGCAGGGGCATGCCGGGGAGTATACTAAGCCACAGGATACATGTGACATATTTCCCTGGGAGAGATTTTGGAAGGAGGAAACTAAGTAACCAGCAAAGAACTGAAAACAAATTCATTGTATTAAACCTGGACACTTTATGGAGTAGAATTCAAAAGGCTCAGGAACATTTTAAATTATTCCAGGCCCTCAGTGACCTGGCCCCAGTCCCACCAACTTCTCAACTGCACCCTAGGCCCATCTCCTCCCTCACTGCCCTGGATCTGGCCAACTACGTGGAGTCTGCTCATGGTGCCACCCATGCAGTACCTCTTACCCAGAACACCCCTCCTCCTCCTCTTTCCCTGGCTAGCTCCTTCAAGCCCTGCTCAGGTTTTCCTCCTGCAGGCCTTCCTCACCACCCTCAATCCCAAGAGGCAGGACACTAATAGCTAATAGCTGCCCTCTGGATCTTTGGGACGCTTTCCTACCTGCCTTCCTTCTTGTGTTCCCTCACTGGACAAGACCCATCGGAGACAGGTGTGATGGGAGTTCCAGGTTCTAGGTCCACCAATGCCTTTAATTCACTGTGCAGCCACAAGTTGGAGCCTCAACCATTCTGAACTGAGCCCTGCTCTACAGGAAGGGCTCACAGAAAGGGCACTGGCTTTGATTCAGACACAACCAGGTTCAAATCCCCACTTAGCCCCTTTGGATCAGCAGGAGGTTAGATGAGACCCTGAGTCTCAGTTTTCTTCTCTGTAAAATGGGGATAATAATGCCCCCATGTTGCGGGAAGCAGTGAAGACTGAGGTCACATGGGCAAAGCTGACGCAGTCCGGCCCAGATCCCACCCCTGGCGGGCTGCCTAACCCTGAGCTCACTTCTTCCCTGCCTTTCTCACAACAAACAATAGCAGTAAGAGTTAATCCACTACACACGCCTGCACAGCTCAGCCCTGTCCCACAGACTCAGGCTTCCCTACTTACTGGGCCTTGGGATCCTCACTCACCCAGGCCGTGAGGCCAGCAGGCTGTCTAAGCCTCATCCTGCAGGAGAGGAATCAGGTTCTTAGAGAGAGAGGTGGTATGGCTGGAGCTCAGACACTGATGTGCTGACCAGCAGGAACAAATTTCATAAACTCCAGAGTATCAAGCCCTCTCATTCATGTATTTATCAGACAGGTACTGTCATAATGTCATGGCTATCACTTATTATCATAAAGTCATAATCATGACTATTGTTTATTGCTAGATAATGCTAAACTCCTGCCAAATAGGTTTTCTTGGTATCCTCAGAATAAACTTAGCCATTCTCACCTTCTCACCTCTACCCCTTTGCACATGCCATTCTATCTGCTTGGAATGCCATCCCAGGTTCCTCTCCTACCTGCCAGCCCCAGCATGCCTCATACCTGGGTTATGGTAATTACAGCCCATTTGTGAACTCCTACTCATTCATCAGTACCCAGCTCAGAGATCTCCACCTCGTGAAATCTTCCTTGACCTTCTCAAGCTGAGCTGATGCTCTTCCTTCTGTCCACGGTACCCTGTCTGTTTCTCTACTGTAATAATCATCCTGACTCACAGCAGTGAGGAGCAGCTGTGTGCCAGGCACTGTGCTAGGCACTTTATGTGGATGGTCTCATTCTACACACTCACCAGAACCTTCTCAGGTAGACACTATTACTGTCCCTATTTTATAGATGAGGAAGTTGAGGCAAGGAGAGGTTGAGTGACTTGAGCAGTTGGTAAGTGGTTGTACAGGTTAATGCCTGGGTTTCTCTGCTTGCCCACCCCAAGCAGAGATGGTGAGGACTCATCAAAGGCCTTCGAGCTCCCCTCAGCCCCCTCCTGCCAGCTACCCTCCCCATGCGGCCCGCCCATACCACGATAGCCGCGGTGACTGAGAGGATGTTGACCACGCAGTACTGCAGAGCCACAGCGTTCTGGGGGGCAGCCACGTAGCGCAGCACAGTGCCATGGAGCAGGGCAGCCACGATGAAGCTCATGTGGCCCAGCACCACCAGCACCAGCCCTGTCTTCATCAGCACCTTCCGGAAGTCACCCACACTCAAGCTGCCTGTGAGGGACAGCGGTGTCAGGCCGGGGGGGCGGGGGGGCTCATCCCTGGGCAGAGGAGGAAACCAAGGCCCTGGCAGTAGTGATGGACATTGGGTTCTAACTCTATTTTGGGATGACTTGGGGCCAGTAACCTGTCTTCTTGGAGCCTCAGTTTCCATAAAAAGGGGCTCAAGATGCCTTCCGGAGAGTTCTCAGGGGAGTTAAGAGAAATAAGATTGGAAAAGCACATAAAAAACCAAACTCACTGCCATCAAGTTGTTTCCAACTCATAGTGACCACATTGGGTTTCCGAGGCTGTAAATCTTTACGGAAGTAGATTGTCCCATCTTCCTTCCGTGGAGCAGCTGGTGGGTTTGAACCTCTAAGCTTCCAGTTAGCAGTCAAGTTCTTTATCTGCTATGCCACCAGAGCTCCTTAGAAAAAGCACACAGGTGGTACTTAATAAAGGGTAAGGAGTCCTTGTTGGAAGGGGTCCTGATGTACAATGATTAAGTGTTTGGCTACTAACCAAAAGGCTGGCCGTTTGAACCTGCCATTGTCTCCATAGAATAAAAGACTTGGTGATCTGCTCCTGTAAAGATTCCAGCCTAGGAAACCCTAGGAGACAGTTCTACTCTGTCACATAGGGTCACTAGGAATCAGAACCAACTTGACAGCCCTCCGACAGTGGGGGCTCAGTGGCAGCAGTCTCGCCTTCTATGATGGAGAGCTGCTCCCAATTCCCAGCCAGTGTGCCCCAAGCACTGCTACCACCCATCTGTCATTGGAAGCCTGTGTATTGCTGTGATGCTGAACAGGCTGCAGCAGCGCTTGCAGAGTAAGACAGACTTAGGAAGAAAGGCCTGGCAATCTAGCTCCAAAAAATCAGCCAGTGAAAGCAGTCCGTTACTGTTGGGCATGGGGACACCATGAGTACGGGGCCAACTTGACAGCAGCCATCAACAAAAACAACAGCCCGTGCTAGTGCCCAAGCCCATCTGTGGCAGGGTCAGGATTTGAACCCAGGCTTCTGGCTCCAGATCCCATTCCACTAAGCCCCCCATTCACTGATTCATTCATTCATGTGTTTGTTACGCAAAAGTTCACTGAGCACCTGCCTTGTGCCGGGCCCTGGGGGTACCACGGTGAGCTTTACAGTCCAGACCTCAAGGGGCCCATAGCCCATTGGGCAGGAATCACATTTTACAGGGCCTGGCACCCAGCAGCTACTCAACACAACTGCTGAACTGAACTGTCTAAAGCTTGATAACTTGAGGCAAGTCCCTCTGCCTTCTGAGCTTCTATTTCTCCACCTGTTAAACTCAAAGAATAACTCCTCCTGCTCTTACCTCATAGCAGGGAGGGAGGGTCTCATGAGGAATGATTGGGACAGTGAGGTAAACTGGGACAGGCCAGCTCCCAGAGCAAGGGCACTGGGCAGGCACAGGGATGGTGGTTGGTGCCAGCTGGGGCCAAAGGAACACCAGGACCCATGCACAAATTCTCAGAGCACTAAGTGGCTGCCCGGCTCCAACCTACACACTTCCAGGGAACAGGAAGCAGGCTGTTCCAGATCTGCTTCCTGGCATTTTTCCCATGGGTTTTGGCTCTGCCCTCCAGGGAGCACACCATGCTGGTCCCCTCACTTTGCACCCCGCTCCCCAAGCCAGCTTTGTGACACCGGAAGGTTATAATTAGGTCCCCAGAATTAAATAGCCCTTACTTCTTTTAGCCACTCCGTGTGGGACCTAACTAAGTCCTTTCCTAGCCCTCAGTCTCCCCATCTGTGGCACGAGGGTTGGACCATATTTCATATGTGGGAGTTCTGTGGTTAAAAATACTACTGCTTAAAAAAAAAATACTACTACTACTAAGGTGCAACTATTGGTCTCTCTCCATCTGGAGCAAAGAGGAGTAAAGAAAATCAAAGATGCGAGGAAACAATTAGTCCAAAAAAGGATTAATGGACCACGTGAACCCTAGCCTCCACGACCTGAGACTAGAAGAACTAGATGGCGCCCGGCTACCACTTCTGACCGCTCTGAAAGGGATCACAATAGGAAATCCTGCATAGAGTGGGAGAAAAATGTGGAACACAGCTCAAAATCACAAAAAAAGACCAGGCCTACTGCTCTGATAGAGACCGATGGCACCCCTGACACTATGGCACTCAGACACCCTTCAAGCCTGGAACTGAACTCAGCCCCATGGCTCAACTTTCACCCAAATGATAAACAGGCCCATAAGGTGAAAATTACACCAGAGAGGTAGGCACTCATCAGAACAATCGACTATATGAGACCAAAAGGGTGGCATTTGCCCAGGGATACAAAGCTGAGGTGGCAGGAAGGGATAGAAAAACGATGAAGGGAAATGGTCAACACGGGGAGGAAGTGGGAAGAGTGCTGTTACATTGTGGGGATTGCAATTGACGTCACAGAATACAATGTGTATGAATCACTGAATGGAAAACCAATTTGTTCTGTAAACCTTCACCCAAATCACAATTAAAAGAATATTTAAAATAATAATAAAATCACACAGCAATCCCCAAGGAGCAGGGAAGGACAGGGCCACTCAGCCACTGACCCGCTCTGTGACCCTGCACCAGCCCCTCCACTCTCTGGGCCCTATAATCCCCATCTGTAACACCAGGAGGGGGTGTTCTCTGAAACCTCTGGAGTGGACCAAGTCTAGGAGAAGCAGAGGCCAGACGATGGGCTGAGCGGGCACTGTGGATCTGGAATGGCATAGGAAAGATTAACAACTAGCCAAACAGGAAGGGGTACAGCAGCCTGGTCCCAGTGGCTGGGCCCATCTCACCCCATCCACCCACCCCTCTGGCAGGTCAGACACCACCTGGCTCAGGGCTGGGTTCAGCAACAACAACAGCATCCAGGACCAAGATTTTGGTCAAACAGGATGTGCAATGGCAGCCTGGGGCACAGGGGCAGGGAGCACAGGGCAGGGCAGTCCCTGGCTTCTTCATTCCCAAGTTATCATTCTTGGAGCACTTAGGAATGTGGCTGGCACAATGCTAAGTAATTTACTTGTAGGAGCTGACTGTCCTAAGAGGTGGGGGTCACTGTCCCCATTTCACAGATGAGGAAACTGAAGTTACAGGTCTCTAGGCTAGAGAGCAGGTACTCACCAGGGCTGGCTGATGCCCAAAGCAGCACCGATGTGCCCAGAGAATAGGGGAGCGTGTACGATCAGTCCAGCTCCTGTGCCTGTGGTCTGTTTGCTGATGGCCTGACCCTAACAGCCTTGGGGATGGGAGGGGAAAGTCTGGAATTGGGACCCCTTTGCAGTGCCAGCGAAATAAGCTGAAGCCTGGCAAGCAGCCTCCCGCTCAGAACTCCCTGGGCCTGGATGTCCCTCTGCTCCCACTCTGGGTGGAGTAGGCGCCCCCTTCAGCATCTCTTCTCTCTAGGGGACCCTGGACGCAGCTCTGCGCCTCCACAAGAAAGAAAAGTAGGAATAAGGGGTGGTGATTTCAGAGCCGTATCAGGAAGATTCCAGCAGCCCTCCTCCCTCCGTCTCACTGCTCGGGAAACTGAGGCCCAGAGAGAAAAATGGCTTCCCCCAGGCCACGCAGTTAAGTTAGAGGCCTGCACTCTGGGGTTTCGGGCTCCCACTACAGTGCTCTGCCCCAGCATGAGGATTTGAGACGAGTTTGGGCCTCCCGGGCCGCCAGCTCCGCCGCTCACCAAGGCGCAGACACATCTCGGTTCCTGCGCGGGGTCGCCCCCCGGCCGGCGTCAGCGCGGCTCCTGAGGCTGCGGGCCGCTTGGGGGCCCTGTTCCCATCCTGCGTCCGCAACCCGCCGCAAGCGCGCCCCGCAGAGCCCGCCGCGCTCACTTCCCGCCTCGAGCCCCGGCTGGTCTGCGCGAGGCCGGCCTCCCTTCCCGTCACCCCCCGGGAGGGCCCGGGCGGCTCGTTTGCATCCCGAGCCGGTCTGACCTGCTGGGCAGCCTTCCCGGGCCCGCCCGCTGAGTCACGGCGCTGGCCCCACCCACCCGCGCCTGCCCCATCCCGGTCTCGGGCCGAGCCCCCACCGCACACGCAAAGCCCACCACCACTCACTTTACGTCGGAGTAGAGATTGCCGGGGCTGGGAAGTGCGAAGGGCAACTGTACACGTGGTACTCATGTTACCGGTGACTTTCCTGACTTCATGGGCACCATCACTGCTGCTTGCTGGGTCTCAGTTTCCCTGTCAAACAGGGATAAAGATTGCCCCCTGGGTGAAGCTTGAGAATCCACCTCTTTCTAGAGCATGGAGTGGGGTAGCTGTGATTGGTGAAAGAGCACCGCCCTGAGGGGAAGGAGAGGAGCAGGGTCTGTCCTTAACCAGCAGTGTGGCCTCAGGCAGATCACTTTCCCTTCCTAAGCTGTGTACTAAGCAAAGCAGACACCCTGGATGAGAGTCTCGTAAGGCCCTTCTCCCGTCCCACTGGGAGCATTTCTGTTTCCTCACTGGAACATCAAGGATAATAATTTCTGTCCCCTAAGGTCCAGTGGCGGGGAGCTCTGGTAGCATAGTGGCTAAGACACTTGCCTGCTAACCAGAAGGCTGGCAGTTCAAACCCATCAGCCACTCCTC